TATGTTATAATTATTCAATGGCTTTAAAATAACTTGTCATTGTTCCTTAAGCAGAGGCACTATTGCTTAATTGCAGATGAGTCATTTCCACAGTCCCAAACAATTAATGTTTTCTAAACTTGCCTAAAATAGGAACCACCTGGAGTTTTGTCAAACATACAGATACCTGGGCCCACCCCAGACTAATTAAATTAGAATTTCTAGGGAAGGCCTGTGGGAATCAGTATGTTCATTAAGCATCACAGCTGGATTTTATTGTCAGGCAGGGGTGGGAAATACTGTTTGTATTACTCGGACAGTGGCATTAACTTTTTGAATTACTATTGTATTGAGTGTCCAGAATAGAGCTTTATCAATGAAAGAATTGGGATATTAGGTAGCACTCATGGGCTCACGGGCTACAAACCAAAGCATGTTCTATTTTATGTAAATACATCGTATTATCGAAATACCATGTATTTACATATTTTAGATACAGAAAAAGGGTTTATTCCTTTAATAAAAAGCCCAAGATTAAATTCATTACCACCTTGAAAAAAGAACATGAGGAAAATATCTCTTGTTGAACATTTCCCCATACTTCAGGCATGGTCCTAATCATTGATTTACCTAAGTTATTTCTCTTCATCTTAACAATTCAATGGTGGTGTATTTTATTCCCATTTTATAGAAGCAGAAACTGAGGTCACTTAGTGTGCAAGCTAAGTACCTCTTAGTGTACAAGGGGTAAATCCACCAAGTACATGTTCTTACCATGATACTAGCCTTTAGAGCAAGTCAAGGAATTCAAATTCAGTAGGCAAAATAATCATGCATTTGGGAATTTTTCTTCTTTGGAGGCCAAAAAACAAGGGGTGATTTTTTATATATTTGGGTTGAGTCAGAGGGAGAAGAACAGGATTTCAGAAGGTGTGATTGCCTCTTCTAGGAAGGTAAACCACTTTTCTCCTGTGATCCCTTAAAAACGAGCTCTCCCAAAAAAGAAATGAGAAAAGTGAATAAGATTGTCAATCTAAATGTATAACACGTGAGCTCTATCCATCTATCTGTGGAAACAGATTTTACTCCAACTCATTTGCTTTCTTATTCCCCCATGCTGTTTATTCTGGTTGAAGTGGTTGCAGCCAGAAACAAAAATGCCCCCTTTGGGATTTCTTGTTTTAAAAATCCTTTTTTCAAAGGGTTTGTTGTCTTAAACTTGGAAGTTGTTGAAAGGTGCCAGATGGATGGCCTTGGAAGCTGTGTATCTGCAGAGGAGGGCAGGTGGAGATGGGGCAGCCTGGGCTTCCCACGCAGCCCAGCTTCCGAACTCTTGCCTGGATGACAGGTAATATTAAGCTGGCAAGTTAAGAGGACTACCTGGAATAAAAGTGGACACTACCAGTGAGCAGCACATTCCTTTGCTGTCACCATTGTTGTTGATATTACAGGCTGAGACACTCCCATGCAACACTCCTTCAGGTGCTCTGTTTAGGAGGCTATAGAGGATGCAATCCAGTACAGAAATGCAGGATGAAGGAAGAGAGGTGACAGAGTGGGGAGGCTGATGACAAATAGTCTGAATTTGACTTTTCATAAATGCTATCTGTATTTTGTGATGTCTTCTCTTTCTTTTTCGTTGTTTGGAAAAGATCAAACTATCACACAAACGGTGGCCCCAGCCTTGCTGATATGCTGAACCAAAAGTAATACCCGCCTTTCTCCAGATTTGTTTTATGAGAAAAAATATATATATTATTTATGGCATTATTACTTGGGTACTCTTTTATTTGGTGGCAAAAACATTCATTCCTAACTGAATCAGGAGGAGAAAGGGAACTAGAGAGGTGAAGTACATTTTTGCAAGTTAACTGTTGGAAGAAGTCTATATGAAGCAGAAATTGAATAATCCATGTTTAAAATTAACAGCAGCCCTGGCTGGTTTGGCTCAGCGGTTAGAGCATTGGCCTGCAGTCCAAAGAGACCAGGGTTCAGTTCCCGCTAAGGGCACGTACCTTGGCTGCAGTTTGTTCCCAGCCCTGGTTGGGTCATGCGGGTGTGACCACTCGATGTGTCCCTTTTACGTTAATGTTTTTCTCTCTCTCTTCTTCCCACTCTATCTGAACAAAATATGGAAAAATGTCCTCGGGTAAGGATAAAAAATAATAATAAAATAAAAAAAATCAACAGCAGTGTCTGGCACACAGTAAGAGCTCAATAAATATTTTAAAAAGAAATATGGGTGGATATATGAATCTTGCAGGACTTTTGTAGATGTAAAATGACATGAAGTAATCCCTCTACAATCCCAGCCACTATTTACAATTTTGAGTCAGGGCTATCGATGGTGTGGCTATCACAGGACAATTGTCTTACTTTTATATAATTATACACGCAAGGAGAATCTTCTTAGGGTTATACCAGTGCCTTTCATAGAAGTTAAGTGAACTTGGCTACAGAGCACTTCCTTACTTTTAAAACCTAAGGAGATACCAAAGAAACTCAGCTGATGTTGTAGAAGCATTTATTATGAATGATGGAAAAGCTTCTTTGAAAGCAATTATACATTTAGGGGGGTGATTTCTAATCAAGCCATCCCTGGCATAGCTTGCAAATGCCTGGCACATGGAAGATAAAGTTCTCACATTTCAGTTTCCTTAGAAGATGAGTAGATAATTTTAACATTTTTTTGCTCATATTTTGTGACATTAATGATAACAAATCCATATGTATTAGTAATCAGAAAATGAAATATGTATTTAAAAATGATTGCCTAATTTTAATTTTGTGATGAGGAAGGAAAAGGGCTACAATTAAAGTAATAGAAACGTCTTCTCCTTCCTCCCTCTCTACCCCCCCCCAATTTTCCTGAGATTTTGATAGAAATCCCTACAGAAATTGTATAACGTAATGGAGTGTTTTATTTTTGCACTTCATAATAGTCATAAACAATAACCAAATATTAGAGATTGCAAACCTTGAAATGGGAGTTCCTTTTGGTTCATGGATCTGCACACTTTGTCCTTGGCTTCTCTCAAAGTGTGAAATTCAGAGACTAGATATGATAAGACTTAAGGGGAGAAAAAGGTCCTGATTTTTGGTAGGAATATAGCCAGATGGAGCCATAAGTGTAATAAAAAAGAATATCTCCACTGCAGAAAATAATTCTAGCTTTTCCATCCACATGGACAACCCCCTGGGTCGGCTGATTTTGTGAGTCAATCAGACCCAAAGTATAGGTCTAGCGAGTACAAAGAAAAGAAATATATTTGTGGGTCAGAAATGTCTCACTTGGTCTGAACTAACAGCTTTTCTTTCGTGCTTGTTTTTACTAGTTGGAGTGTGTTGGTGTGTGTGTCTCTATCCCTGTTTTTCTTTCTTTGATTAGCAATACACTTATCATTAACTTTGATACAGTGTAATTTTAGAAATATAGATTACATTTATTCAGATTTTTTAGTTGAATTTATTTATACTCTCTCTCGAAGACGAGAGAGAAGTGCCCTGGCAGTTAGAGTGTTGGCCTGCAGACCAAAGGGTCACAGGTTCGATTCCCCGTAAAGGGCACATACCGGGGTTGCAGGTTCGATCCCCAACCCCTGTTGGACCCATGCAGGAGGCAACTGATCTATGTCTCTCTCTCTCTCTCTCTCTCCCTTCCACCCTCACTTAAAAAAAAAGAAAAGAAAAGAAAAAAAGACTAGAGGTTTGCTTCATAGGCTTTTGGTAAAAGTCACTTGTTAATTCAACAAATAGTTATTGAAAATCTGTGCCAAGGCATCTTGAGGTTTATAAAGCTGAATAAAATGTGGTCCTTGATGCCTGCATCTTGGTATGTTACCTTGCTCAGAAGCAGCTGATTTTTAACAAGAGGGTAACAACCTTGGCTACATACCAGAATCACCTGGGAAGCTTGTTAAAAATACACCTGCCCAGGCTCCAGCTCTCAGCTTAGGGAAATTCTGGTAAAAGGCAGGGCCCAGGGTGTGTGCAGTTTTGACAACATGCCCCCCAAGTGAATCTGATACATAAAAACAACTTTAAGCTAAGAAAGGACTAACTGCAAGTAGTTCAACCACAAGTCAATATTTTTGATATCTACAATAGAGCAGCTGTTTAATCACTGCTTCAGAGTGGGTACAGCTTGAAAAGCACACCAGAGTAAGGGGTGGGCTCAATCTTTTCTGTAAAACACCTGGAATAAGACTGTTACGGAAGAATACCATTGCTACAGCCAAAGCTCATCTCCAAAGCTTCCCCAAACACTGTCCTTATTTTTATTTCACATGAAATACGCTTATTTGTGTAAATTTTCTCCTTCACTAGATTGTGAAGTATTCCGGAGCAGGAGCAATCCTAGTTCTTTCTCCCACTGAGGAACACAGTCACCCATTCATAATAGGTACTGACAGGTGTTCGTTTTGAATTGAGTTGAATCCTCATCCACCTCCTGGGGTCTGACCATATACGTATGAATATATTCGTAGTGGACATTTATAAATATCCATAAAAGTATATATTTGTTCAACAAAACATTTCAATCACACAAAAGAATATGTAACATACACCAGAAAGAACAATAAAACAAACACCCGGGGACCCACACCCCAGTTGCTGAAACAGGAAGTTGCGAATACCTTCGAGGTCCCCTATCGAACTAGATCCTTTTGAACAGTCACAAGCTTCTGAAATTTAAATCCTATTTCGTATATTCAATCACTGATTGGATCATTCATTCACTTGTCAAATGTGTCAGAACTGATGTTGGCGAGGTGGTTATTTCCACTGTTGGAGTGGAGGAGGTCAAAGTGACATGAGCTGTCCCCAGAGGCGTACAGACTGCGTTTGCTGCCTGCGTTCCTAACTCCGCGGAGCCCTCCGGAGCCGGCGTGGTTTCGGCGTGTGGACACTTCGGGCCGAAACTACGCGTCCCGGCAGTCCGCGGGGCGAGTGGGCGGAGCCGGGCCGGGGGCGGGGGCCGGCGAGAGGGGGCATTGTGTCGGGAGCGCCGAGCTGCATTTGTCTGCTCGAGGTGCTCGCGGAGCGAGCCTTGTGTTCGGCGGCACTGGGCTGGAAGTGTCATTGGTGGCCGCAGCCCCGGTAGGAGACCGAGTCGGAGGAACCACGCGCCCGCGGTCCACGATTGCTGGCAGGGAGCGGCGTGCCAGCGGAGCAACATGCAGATAGGCGCCTGGCGCCCTGACGACCCCTGCAGAGGAGAAGAGGCCGGGGCCGCGCTGGGTCGGCGGGCAGCATGAAGGAGGCCGGGGGGCTGCTCGGCTCGGAGCGCTGCTAGGGAGCGGTGCGCGCTGCACAGTCGCCAGGGCGCAGCGGAGGGCGGGGAGCCGGGCAGGTCGCGCCAGCGGGCGGGAGCCGGTCGCCGGGAGCTGTTCTGATTTCCGACGCGGACGCTAGGGGCCCGGAGCAGCCCCCGACCCCGGCGTGCAGCCAACATGGGCAACGCGGGGAGTATGGATTCGCAGCAGACCGATTTCAGGGCGCACAACGTGCCTTTGAAGCTGCCGATGCCCGAGCCAGGTGAACTGGAGGAACGATTTGCCATCGTGCTGGTGAGTTCGTGGCGGGGACGGTCTGGCGCGGGGCTCCGGGCCGGGCGGCGCAGCTGACCCTCACCCCCTCCCCTTCTCCCCGCGTGGGGAACGAGTCTACTGTCCCAAGGGGAGGTGCCCACCTTCCCCATTGTGGCCTCCCCAGCCTCACTTCCCTCCGCCCTCCTTTCGGCCCCCGCGCTCAGCTTTCTTGGGGTCTTGGGATGGGGCCGGGGGCTCGGTGCGGGCTGCCTGGCCAGCTCTGAGCCCATTGTCTGGCGGGAGAGGCACCTCGCAGCGTGTGTGCCCGGGAGGTGCGGCGTGGGCATGAAGGAAAGGTGGTGCGGGCCGGGGAGGAGGGGGTAGCAAGCCGCTAAGGCTTTTTGTTAAAAAAAAAAAAAAAAAAAAAGCCGCAAACCCCGCGTCCCTGCGGAGCATCGCGCGGGCGCCCAGCCCCAGGCCTGCTTGGTCCGGGGCCGAGGGGTGCATGTGGCCGGCCGCGGGCGGTGCGCTGGGCTTTGCGCGAAGGCGAACTACTTGGAGGCGGAGGGGAGCGCCCCTGAAGCGGAAAGAGAAGGAAACCCGCAGCAGTGCGGCGCCCTGGTCCCTAAGCGAGGAGGGGGCATCTGAAACCCAGGCGAGAGAGAGAAGCTTCGCCTGAGCGCGTTCCTTTTGGTCTTAAATCTTAAACCACAAAAAACACGTAATGTTTTGCGGGGACGTGTTGCGAGCTGTTCTGACTCCCGGGAAGACCCCTCTACTCCTGTACCCAGCCAAGTCCCCAGCTCCCTTCCGAAATCCGCTTCTGGTTTACAGCTTCTCAAATCCAAGACTGAAGACTCCCTTCTTTCTCCCTCTTCTGCTGGGACTAAGTTTCTGGGCCCCTCCCTGCTAGTGCTTGTCAGTGCTGTGAGCTCAAGAGGGTGTGGTGGCCTCCCCCTCGCCCCAGCCAGAGAGTCTACTGCAGTTGGTCCCCAGACTTTGATTTTTAGTGTCCTAGACTCTTTTAAGGGGGATGTTGGGAGGGAACCGGGCAAGATTGGACGCGTTACTATTCCTTACACTTACTTATGCATTTCCCTTTTCCTAGTTAGTTACCTCTAAACTCTACAGGGCTGGGAACCAAGAGGAACTGGTGCTCAAGGCAGCCACATCTTGCGTTTTCCTGCGGGTTTTTGGCATGTAATTCACAATCTTGGGAAAGGACACTGGGACATTTAAACTTTCTTTCTTGAGGCCCGGTTTGATATGGGGAGTAATGTTCTGGATGGCAGGTTAGCTTTGTGCTGTTTGGGAGAACAGAAGCCACACGCTTTTTCACACCACCGGGAAACTGGTGTGGCAGTCGGGAGATAGATGAGGCTGCCTGTTTTGCTTTGAACCTTCTGTGATCTCCCACAGCTGCTCCCACCTTGTGCAAGATGGGGCACTCTGAAATGAAACAGCATAAGCTTAATTACTTTTCAAAGCAGGCTGGGTGCATACATGACTTGTCTTTCCAGAGACAAACCTTTTTATTAAAAATCCTCATTCTATCAGACACATGGTTCTTACCTCTAGCTCTGAATTTTCTGTCTTTCCATCCATGGTGTGATGCTGTATGTGTGTGCATGTGTATATGGTCTTGAAGTGGAAGGGCCAGTGACACAGAAAAACCAGATGATAATAATGCAGTTAAGTTCTGCTCAACTGGGATAGTGTGCTTTGCATGAGCTCTCAGTTATTCTGCTGATGAATAACACATGGTATGAATTAATCTTTAGAAAAATAATGTTCGGCCATTAACATGGTTGATTTGTATTACTATTAAGTCTAGCAGTCACAAATTTAGTGTGTAGACATTTATGATTCTACATCATAAGCTTCTTGGGGCAGTGGTTGGTGGTTGTGGCTACTTTTATTCTGTTCACAGAATTACTGGATGTGGTTCCTTGTGTAATTGCTTACAATATTGTAAGCCTATCAAAACAAAAAACAAACAAACAAAAACACCAGCCTGACGTTTTTTGAAGAGACAAAGCTTTTGGGAACGTCTCAGCTTGGGGACCCTCTTATTAGGGATGCATTGGGCCCATTGATGTGGTGTTGAATGTAACTCCCCTTAGTTCCAGCTGCTCTTGAAAACCTACAAGAGTAATGAAAAGGAATGTTTATGGGTTGATAAAAGTTGAGAGTTATGGTCATTTCTGGTCAGTTTTCTGAAGTTGTGTGTGTGATGCTCCCAACTCTGCTTTTCTTCACAAATTGCTTAAGAAATCAGCTTAAACCACTTAATTCTGGAGTTCAAGCTTGAGGGACACATTTTAGATTGGTAGTTTTAAGTATATATGTGGAGACATTATCTACCCTGAGACAGTGGCACAGATTTTGGCATTATTGATCCTAGTTTTATTTTCCTCTATGATAAAAATCATATGTGTTTTGGGTGGAAAACCAGACAGTAATACTGTACAGAAAATTATACAAGTGCCTCATTGTAAGTATGGCTTACATCAATAATTAACGAGCCATTTCAGGCATGGAAAACAATTCCTCCCACCCCTAAGCTCTAGCATATTTAAAGCATTGGGGAAGAGTAAATAAAAACAAGTGACAGAAGCCCATCTATTTCTAGAAAACTTGAGAGAACAAACCTATTCAATGGCTGTCTCTCCCCCCCAACCCTCCTTCAGTCTATATGAGTTAAATTGTACAAATCTAAAACAATTAGTGGGTGTGAGTGGAAAGGAGAGGAGAGAGTAAAAGACTGCTGCATGAAGACCAATGGAGGGGTAAACTTAAGAAATAGTTTTTTTAATAGGAAAAATGAAAAACTTACATTTAAGGGAAAAGATTGCTGACTCCTTACATACATTTAACTATTTGCATCCTTGTTATAAAGGCATATAGGTGATATGCCTTTGTGTATTTGCATATGTGTGTGATGTTTCTGTTGCATTCTTTGAAAGTGTTTCACAAATTGTACATACAATCATCTACTTCAGCTTTTGTTTCTTTAGGGTGTATATATTTGACGTATTTTACGGGTAACATTGGTCTGTATTTTTGGGGTCCCACACATTTATTATTAAATATCAATGTGGCTCTCCATATTAAACACTGTCTGATTGTTGGGAACAGACACTCACACTCCCATGTCTTTTTTTCCAAAGATGATGCCATGAAGGTGATTTTGGGTGTGGTGAATGACCAATGGTCTTTGTCCAAGAATCCTCTTTCTACATTAGACACTCTTAATATTCACTGATTTTGGGCTTGCAGTCATGTTTGTCCCCCAGTGCCTTTGTCAAAGAGCTGTCCTCAGGGTGATTTCTTTGAGTTTTAGAGGAAAGGATAGTTTTAAACCCTCTAACCCAGCTGCGTATCTCTGGGATATCAGATGTCAGGCTGCTCTGCCAACAGATTACAAAAGACAGATTAGGAAGTGATGGCTCACAGCAGTATTCTCATATGTTGGATAGGGAACTGCTTTGGTATGGGATTAATTTGAGTCAGTTTCCTTTTTTTTTTTTTTTATCCTCACCCGAGGACATTTTTCCATTTTTTGTACAAATAGAGTGGGAGGGAGAGAGAGGAAGAGAGAGAGAGAGAAACCTCGACACGAAAGGGACACATCGAGTGGCTGCCACCTGCACGACCAACCAGGGCCGGGGACAAACTGCAACCGAGGTACATGCCCTTAATGGGAACTGAACCCGGGTCTCTCCAGACCACAGGCCGATGCTCTAACCGCTGAGCCAAACCGACCAGGGCTGAGTCAGTTTCCTTTTCAAGTTTTTTTTTTTTTCACTTGCCCTGAGGTTGAATGCAGTCATTTTGCTGTAGGAAGAAGTGGGAACATTTTCTGAGTACTCACTATGAGTACACCCTATGCTTACATGTTCTCATTTACTCTTCACCGTAACTCCAGCTATCAGCAGCATTATAGCCAAGACAGCAAAGATTACCTGAATGACCCGAGGTTGTAGAATAGCCAGTCTAAGATTATAACCCAGATTTGGATCTCTATCCCCTCCCCCCATTATATTATACTTCCTTAGGCCTAGGACTGGGAAGGAAAAAAAAAGAGGGGGGAGGTGGTGGTGGTGCTGGGACTAGCAGTAAAGCTGTAAAAAAGAAAAAAGATCCACCTAAATCTGGTAAATGCAAGTTTCAAACTGTATAAAGTTGGCAGAAATTTCCTCGCTGTGACTAAAGTGGGGTGTGCTTGGTGTTTCTCTTCAGCTGTCAGACGTTTTGGCATCTTCACTGCACTGTTCTGCTTTCAGGCATGGAGCTAAATGCTGATCTGGTCTGAAAGTGCACTCTTCATTTTCTCCCAACTAGGCCGACTGGAACCACCGTGGTGGGGAGTTTGGGCCTGTCAGTGCAGTGCAAACACTCCAAATGTAATTACTTGTGAAAGGGACAAGGAAGGTCAAGTTTTACCATTTAAGTTTATTTCCCTCTGCAAGGTGTTGTTCCCTTTCAACCAGTTCCAAGGAGAGCTCTTGCCATGGAGTCTGCTGAGCAGATGGATGGGTAGCAAGCAGTGAAGTTAGGCCATCATCAGATGCATGCTGGTTAGTTTTCTCACATCCTTTCTCCTGGTGGGAAAGAAGGCAGGTGAGTAGGGGGTGGAGTGTTGTCACTTTGAGCCATTGCAGTCTCATCCCAGGCAGTAACCCCCTGAGCTGTTTTATTCTCACAAGTAGAACTATATGCTTATGCTTAGGACTGTGCTTATCATCATTACCTGGGTGCATTCTCCACTGCCCCCTTCCCACACAATACCAATGTATTTAGGTATCTAGGATAGAAGTTGATAGAAGGCTATACTCTGAATGGAAATGCTTGGCTCTAGTGAGAGACTGGCAGCAGCATAAACTGGTGAAACCTGGGGGAGAAAAGGTATGCATACCCTTAAATCCTGAAGTGATAAGAATTACTTCTGCTTGTGGCCTCTCATTTAGCAAATGGCATTGGCCTGTGATGCAGTAGATCTAGTTTCTAGAATTAGGTTAAACTCTCCTCTGGTCCTT